TTAAAATGGTGGTCTTAGTTATAATACCTTTTTTAAAGATCTTGAAACTTTTACGTATGCATATTCTTACATTAACTAGCACATATTCTATTTTTATGTATTTATATCCTACTCCTTGAACCCCAATTACCGAAAAATATGTGTGTTGAGAGTGTATACTAAATTAATATCAGGCTATTTAAGTTCAGGTGCTACTTTTTGTTTTATCTCTGCAAAATCAAAGAAGTGAATGGTTTAGTCGTTTGCTCACACAAGCCTTATTTTCTGCAGTAAGCATGCCCTCCAGTGGCGAATATGAGCTATGCTGCTAATAAAATCGACTAAACAACTGTAAATGCACGATATCAATTTTCATTTTTGAAGTCTTTTTAAAGAGGTGTAGACACCTTGTACACAACTTGGCACATTAAGTCTTATTTAATTTACAGTTTTTTGTTTTTAATGTTTTACTTTTCTCTCTTCTTTGTGTGTTCCTTCTTTTCTCTCAAGTTCTCATATCTTCTGTTAATTAAAAGGTAGAAATAGCTGACCGTCATTACTTGGCGCACGCAGCATACCAGGGTCTTAATTTGGAATCCACAAAAGCAGTATTTTATATGATTTTATAGAGTTGCAAAATAAGCAGGGTAATCTTGCAACAGATATTAAAGGCTAAATGAAAGGCCAGGCTCAGCTATATTAAATAGGAAAATACACATCTGTAGGGATTTTGGGAGATTTTGCTCTGCAAAAAGCAAAGCAGGGAATTTTCCTCTTCCAGCCCCCTCTATTTTTCTCTGGCTAAAGTGGGGAGCATATGACACCCGTCATACCAGATTTTTTTTTCAGCATGTAATGTTGTCCTATGTGTTCTGTTATACATGGTATATCAATTATGTAGTGATAGTGTTTGTTTCTGCAGGTTTGGCTGCTGAATTAGGATTTTGTGAATTAATTTTACTCGTCTTTCAGCGGGGATTATATATATTGTAACAAGGACACTCCAATCTGTCTCTCTTGCCGCACTGCTGCTCCGGTCTCAATCTTTAGGGCCACTGTCTGGTTCCACCAGACAACGGCAATAACATGCCAATCCTCTATGATTTCTGTTCAGTAATAATGCTCCTCAAGAAATAGAAAAGGTACTTTGTGCACCACAGAGGGTCAATCTACAAATCACAAAGCTAGAGTCAGGAATTTTTTAAAGTGTGCATCTCTGACTTCCCATCTCAATCAACGCTGATACATTGACCAATGCCTGTACCACTTTATCAATAAGCTCACCACTATAGCACATAATATGGTGCAGTATAAGCACATTTTCCTGTTTGTTTTTACTCCGATTACAGTGTTTACTCCGATTTGAGACACTTGGTAGCAGTAAAGTGATCTACCATGTAATAGTAGGAAACTACAAGTGTGCCAATACCTTTTGTTTAGCCAACTAAATACATTTTGAAGTGCCAACATAAAGTGACACGAAACCCAGGAGCTACGTTTTAAATGCATTCAAGTATCCTATTAACAAAAATTTAACTAATTTCTGGAACACTTGGCTGTAGATCCTCAAATCATCTCTGAATTGGTGCTGACACTGTCCTTCCTTCTAGAGGGTGGCTACTTTTGTTCCCCATGGTCCCTGTGTGTGTTGTAAAGTAGCCACCGCTCCAAGCTCACTTCTGTGATGGACTAAAATCTCAATACAAATTAGTAAACTAAATGTGAGATTGTAGTCAGTCATGGGAGTGAGCTTGGAGTGGTGACTACTTCACAACATAAACAGGGACCATGGGGAACAAACGTAGTTACCCTCCAGAAGGAAGGACAGTGTCAGCACCAATTCAGAGATGATTTGGGGATATACAGCTGACTGATACACGAAAAAGATTCATTTTTGTTAATAGTTATTTGAATGCATTTTTGAGATTTAACACCTGAGCTTACTGTCACTGTCAAGAACTCCAGGAATTTTTTTTAAATTAACCCTTGCAATGGGGCTACCCCCACAACTGTAAGGGTTAACTGCTCACTTTTGTCTAGGTTAAAAAAAGTTATACTCACCCGATGCTCTGAGCCGGCTTGTTCTTAGACCAGTCCCTGGAATCCTTCTCCCCCTCCTCTGCAGTGGTCTAAGGTCCCGTAAATCCTCATGTCTATACACGGTGTATAAAAGTGAGGACGCCGGGGAAGATTCCAATGCTGCAACGGAGTAGGAGACAGGCTGGAAGGAGCGATGTGGCAGCTGGCCAGGTTGGGGCCTCGGGTGAGTAGAACTTTGTTATTTTAGCATCTAGACAAAAAGAGCACTTAGCCCCGCCGCAAAGGTTAAGACAAATTTCACTTGGGAGTTCTTTTTTTTAAAAGAAAACTTTTCAAATTTCTTCTTCGGACATGCTTTATAGCAAAGAGCTGAAAAAGTTACTGTTTGTGTGTGATTAGAGTTTGATAGAAGGTGGGCAATCATGATGTACAATAATTAAAAACAACTCAATAATATCAGAATCCAGCTTTCCTCTATAAATACATTTATTTTATGCAATAAACAAATTTAGAAATATCAGTAAAACAGTAAAAAATATACATCAAACATACACTTACTGTTCCATACCTAGTGTCCATGAATCTATATATTTTTCTTTTACAAACATTAATTCACACATAGCAGTTCTCTGGTTACCAATGCATTGACCTCAAGCTTTAAAAGGAATGTAATCTTTTCAGTGATTTTTACAATTTAACAAATAGTAACAGCTTAATGTAAATAACACTAGCACTGTGCAATGCATGCTAATGTTTTCCTTGCTTCTATATTTTCTATTTATCGATGTACATGGAGCAGCACTATTGCTCAGTATTTAAGCAGATTCTATTTCCTGTCTTAAGCGCTACACAATAGTTGTGCTTTACAGACTTTCGTTTCAATGCAAGTCACTGAAATGGCCAGCTCACTATGTTGCTGATATCTCATCTCAAAATTGAGGAAGAATACAGAGCTCCCTTTAGTGGCTAATTTGAAGAAAAATTTATTTATTCCAATATTAAAATATGGGAAGGAACGTATGTAAAATATTGCAAACAAAAAAGTTACAAGAAATTACAGTAATACCCCAAAATATAACTTGAGACCTTAGGATTACAGGTCATCCTAGTCAAGTACATAAAAGATAGGCATTAGGATATTTCTAATAGGGGTTATTAAAATAACTTGATATTTGTATACTTGCATGTTAAAGAAGACATTTTTGTTATGTTTGTGCCTTTTTTTTTAACACAAATATGTAGAAGCAGTAAAGACATATTGCACCATTTTAGCCATAAAACATGTTAAAAATATATATATTTTTTAAAAAGGCAAAAAGTATTGTGAGAGTGGTTAATCTTAAAATACAAGATTTGGGGCACTAGGTCTCTTTGTCAAGCACATGATATGATGGTGAAGGAACCTAGCATTTCAAAAGCTTGCATTTGAAAGGAACGCTATTATGACATTAAAAAAAAACAGAGGCTGCCATTGCTAAGATCTCCTGGAAAACATGTGTTACTTATCTCACTTTCCTGATATGCATACTTGTTTAAAGTCAAAGTGTTAAAAAGATAGAGTGTCAGCACAACAGCCAAACAAAATAGCATTTTCAGGAGGTCAGCAAGGATAGCCCCATTTTTCTTTCACGGCAGGTTTAGTTATAATAATATAATATCAGGGCTCAAAATTTTCACTCGCCTGCTCGCATTTGGCGAGTAAAAATAATGTGAGGGCGAGTGGAAATTTTGGTCTCCAAGTATCGGTCCGCGAGCCGGTACTATGTGGCCCGCAGCTGACATGTCAGGCACACGGTCGCAGACCGCATACCTGACTTGCGGGAGCAGCTCCACGGTCTGCATCTGTGTCGGATGCAGACCGCAGAACAGCTCCTGTCAGCTGTGGCTTCCTTTGGCTGGAGCTCTGACAGTTCTGAGCTCTGGCCGAAAGAAACGATGTATGTGAGGAGGATCGATCCCTGGTTATCTGGGGTGATTAGTGAGGACTGCTGCAGACCTCACTAATCACCCCCAGATAACCAGGGATCGATCCACTTATAACGGGGGGAGTGTATTATTTTTTGTGTGTGCGGGGATAATTTTATTATTATATTTGTGCGGGGGGGTGTAACGTTGAGAAGTGTATTATTGTGTTTTAAGCTGACCATACACCTTACAACCATCGCACGACTTTCATTGTGCGATGGTTGTAAGGTCATTAAAATTTCATACGATCTGCCCATCTTGGACAGGCAGATCGTACTTGCGATTATTGCAAGTCCTCCCCGCTGAAGGCTTCCAATGATTGCAGTGGGCAGTGTGCGCTACTCCGGTATGATTAGAGATTCCTATGTCAGGAAGTTGCGTTTTCCTGCAGCAGGAATCCCTAATCTGCCGTTTACAAGCGGCAACTATCATAAGATTATTTCAGAGGGTGAGTTTAGGCGGGGAGATAAGGCCAGGGCAGGGTAAGGGTTAGGTGGGGCAACTGGTGGCTAGTAACTCTTAAGGCCTGGCTAGTAGCTCAGGACTTGAAATTTTGAGTCCTGATAATATAATATATTTTTGTTTTAGCCACTTAATAGTATTACCTTTCAGAGTGTTTTTGCTTTTTTTGTTACCTACAGCAAAAATATACAGACAATTTATTCTTTGGTAATAAACCAGGAAAATCATATGTACAACATATATTCTAAAAACACTTAGTGGAACTATTATACAGCAATAAAAAAACACTTGAAGCAATTAAGAATAGAAATATTTCAGAATTAAAAGAATGAAAAAAAACCAACATGACAATACAAGCTACTACCACAATGTATAGAATGTATAGAAGGAAAAACACAAATAATTATATTTATATAAATTATTTTATATTTGCTTTGGTATAAAACTCTAATTTACATGGAACATCTTGCTATTTAATTTCTTTATTAATAAAACTGTTAATTCTTGAAGTGGCCTCCTATCCAATTGAGGTCACCAAATCATAGTACAGTTTTTGTCCAGTATCTGTTACAGCTGTCACAATTTCTCATTTATTTCAAAAGTTGGATTGATATAGTCTCCCATTTCACTTGTTAATGCTAAGTCTGTGGGAATAGCATGGTCTTTCCTGTTCGTTGGAGGCCAGTCGGAGTCTTTGGCCAATGCTCTGCGTATTTTCTTGTAGGGGCTCTTTGATTTGTATCGAGTTAAGCGCTTTAGTATGTCCCAAAGTGCTCGGTTTTCAATTACAGCTACCTGGAAATGGAAACAGGTATTACATGTACAACTGTATTCAGTACTAGGAAGACATAAAAGTATTTCTTAGCTTATTCATACATTAAAAACATACATTTTCAATAGTTAAATAAAAAAATGGATAAGAGAAAGAACAAAGTGTAAAAAAAAGTAGTAACTTGGTAACCTAGTAGTTTGGCTTTAGTTCTCTTTTGGGTCACAGGAGTACATTCACTAATGTACTCCTGTGACCCAAACTCGGCATATAGCGAGCACTGCCTGCTATATGCTGACAACGCAGAGCCGTGCAAAACAGTTAATTTTCAGATGTTTGTTATTAATGAAGAAGAGTTATGATTGAATTGTAGCAGTATTTAGCGGTTGACAAGAAAGTTCAGGGTTACCGGCAAAACATGGGGATGCAACTTTGTCCTGTTTATACATTCCCTGTGATAGTGCCTGTATGTTTGTAAGTGCACTTTGGATTATCCAATCTTTCTATATACTGACTCAATGTCAGCTGCGTGGACTAATCCTTACATAAACAGCTTAGAACTATGTTTGCTTGAATATGTTTGCTGTAGGAATGGACTACAGGATGGACATATCAGGCTGGAGTTTGGCTTATGAGTAAACGAGTACTCTTACTTTCCCAAATGCTCCGAACACCTTCCCCCGATACCTAAACATCTGGTCAGAGGAAGATTTCATCCGACCGGCAGTGCTGTAGGGGAACATGGAGCCGGCTTTCCGGGCAATCAGGAAGTCGGGCGGCGGGTAATGACCCGCCTCCCGAGGAAGCCAGCTCCATGCCAGCGGAAGCACAGGTATCGGCGAGTAACGACACAGCAAAATATCAATACACGATACCGAAAAACCGCTATCTGTGCATCCCTAATTATGTCTGTGAGGGTTCTCATTCATCCAAGCCATGGTATATCTGTAAAAAAATAAGTCAAGGCAACTGGACTTGCTGTATTTTTCTTGAAGACGTTTCACTGTACATCCGGTTGTCCAGTGAAACGTCTTCAAGAAAAATTGAAGTGATATTTGACCACCATATGAAAACCAAATATACCATTCATGAACTTACTGCAGACAAGTACGGTAAATGGCAGTGGCGTCACAAGGGGGGTGCAGCCCACACGCACCCAGATGCCACCATTAGAGGGGTCATACCAAAATGACTGACAGTCATTTTGGTGTCACCTCCTATGAAAGTCGGGCACTCGGTCATGGACCGAGAGCCCGACAGAGTCAGGAGAGAGGAGGGGCCCGGCGGCATACCTCATCCTGCCGGGTGAACGTCCCCTCCTATATCTGCTGGCGTTCATCATCAAGATGGCAGCTGGCAGGCATCAATTAGACGGCCGCGCATGCACGATGATGTCACACGGTCTCCCCTCCAGATGACACCCAGCCTCGGGAAGCCCCTACTAAATGGCCCCAACCTAAGATGTTAGTATTATTTTTAATATTTTAGTATTTAGTATTTTAGTATTTAGTATTTTATTAGCCGCTATTAAATATGAAAACATATTCTTTGCCAACATCTGATACCTCAGGATATACTGTTCTTTAAAACTATTAAGTAAAATCAACAACGGGATTAGGATACTCCTGCACAATCACAATGTATTTATGCTGGTTACTTACCTCTGTAACAGAAGAAAGAAATAATATGATGAGCAACATTATAATGATGGATCCTCTCCATATAAGAGGTGTACAAACAAGCTAGAAAAGACAAACAAAAATCATGATAAACCTACAAAACCTCATTAATAATTTCTTAAATACTTTCCACAACTGTCGTGCACAGCAGTCAATATAACACCGATAAATATCACAATTAATAATTTCCAGCAACATAAACCCTTCTATAATGTGTAACTTTTACTCCAGTTACATGCGTTAATAGTAAGAATTCATTATTCTCAATATGGAGTGTTGACTGATGTTATTTACGCTAAATCAGAATATTTGTACGAGTCCAAAATTACTTTAGGACTGACTGATTATAACGGATTAACATGTTCAATGTAATTCAACCTACATGCTTTTGGAGAATCCTCTGTACCGAATGGAAAGTGTGAATATGTGGCAGCTATAGACATAATGGAATTCTGTGTTTATGCAAGTTCTCATTTTTAATGTTCAATATTTTACAAACAGACACCAGGGTAACAAGCAAAACCTTTCCCAACAGACACAAAGCAAACTAGTCAGCCATTTTACTTTTTAAATCTTAATACCATGAGGTGCCTGCTTTTATCTTTGTTAGCTAGAAAATCCTCTTCTGCGTGCCTCACTGATCACCATTTTATTTACTTGAAGTCTTGAATTCCTACTACTCCAAAAAGGTCCTGTTCCAAAGCTAAGCTCTACCCCTTTATTGTCCTCCTGTCCAGTAATATATGTTTGTGAGCCAGAAAGAGAGCCAAACATTCCAAGAGTCCAAAGCATTGTGTTGATCACGCAGCATTTTATTGAGTTACATTTTAAAAATGCATTCTTGTACCTTAACTATTAACAAAAATGTATCTTATTTTCTGTATCACTTGACTGTAGATCAAATCATCTCTGAATTTATGCTGTAACTGTCCTTCCTTTTGGAGGGTGGTTATTCTCTATTCTTGTTTCAATGACAGCTCAAAATGTTAGATTTTCCATCACTCTCAATCCCAGAGACAATGTCACAGGACAAAGAGAAAGAATAGATCTTCCAAGCAGGGACTGACCGTATAAAAAAACCTAGCAGAGTTTCCCACTCATAAGCTTAGGCTGCCCTTTAAGATTCATGTTATTGAAGACTGTTATGCAGGTCAGCAAGCTGACGGGACAGAAACTAACCCCTTACTCTAAAGCTGAAGTGTCAAACTCAGGAAATGTAAACCTAAATAATGAAGCAAATATAATAATCGAAGATTGAACATTCTTGTATAAGACCAGTTATGACGTCTACAGTTTTGTATGTGTTTTTAGTGTTAACATATGAGAAACAGCATATTAAAAGACATTAGAAATATAATGCAGTTCCCAAATTTTTCAACTTACCTCCATCCTATTATATAAATCTGTAATGTTTGCAAAGAGTAGAAAAATGCAAACTCCGAGCTGGATTAAAAGCACAATTACAAATAAATCTGAAAAAAAAAAAAAAAGAATGGAGGAATGTATTACCAATTTGTCTCTTTCATCATGTTCTGTTTAATTAGATATAAATCAATCATGTTTGAAAGGTCATTGATCTAATTTAATGAACATCTACATCCTTTAACCTGGATAAGCATTACATTAAAGTCCAGAGAGCAAACTAGCCTCCATCAATATGCTTACAGTACTCCTATGCTCTTTAGCATCGGATTGATCACATTTTGGCTGTTTCCTACTGAAGTAGGTAAAATCCAATCTGTGGGTTACCCTGCTGGCACCACCCGGCTCGGCAAAAGTTGATATTTCAATTGACTTTTGATGAAGGAGCCGAGTAGAAAATTGTTGACTGATCACTGCAGCCAATCATATGCAGTCACTCTTCAGGTACTGACTGTCAAGACACAAATAGCTAGCAGGGAAGATTCCTCCATCTACGTTCTTTAGCATGGATAGGTGATTTCTCTTGTTCAGCCTCACAGGATGTATGGCGAGCTTTACAGTATTTAATAAAAGCCTAGTCAAAAAAATATTGATTCTTAAATTGTATTTATAAATTCACTTCTGACATACAACTGTAATATTGTATAAAATGTAGACTGTATAAAATGCAGCCCCTGCCAGTATTTACACCAAAACTTTCCAGGAAAGAAACAGTGAAGGATCCTTTGTGAATATGTTATATTTAGCTGTGCTCCAGCATCTGGCAGGATTGTATCACAAAGACCTTGCCTAAGGCAGCAGGGACTTAGGGACACCTCAAAAGTGCAAAATCTTTTTTTTTATTCTTATATCATTTGTTTTCCGAATCTTTTTTGTTGGCTTTTGATTAATGAACTGTACAGAATGGACTGCTTCAAATCCAGCCTTTTGTTCTCTTTTTAGTATTAGATAGTTAATATTTCTTGCCCCGATAGGAAGTGAGAGGAAATATCCCCCAACAGGAGCACAGACAACAATAAAAACATGAAAAAAACAAAAACACCTCTCCTGCTTTTTCCAAAAGGAAGTACATTTTGGTTAGAGTTGGGATTTTAACTCTCAAGATAACTGGTTGATAAACGGTCCAGTCCATTGCAAAGAGCAACATTTACGTATACCTTGTAATTATATTGGGAGGTTTGGTTCACAGGAATGTTAAGACTAAAATAACTCTGAAATATCTGTAGTGTTAGTTTGCATTTTAGAGGCAATTAGAAAGTGATGTCTGATGTTCTTTGAATGCCTGTTTTGGCAGGGAAGGGAGGAAAGCCAAGAAAAGAGCCTTGGTGTTACGTTTTGCAAAGGCGTTTCAAACACCTTAGGAGCATTTAGAGCGTGCTCATAGTGTGCTTCCAGTGACCTAGATGGAGATGTTTGGCAGGCTTTGCTGTTGTTGCCTGCCAGACACTGCAGGCAAGATCAAGATCCACAAGAAGCACTGAGATGTGCCGCAAACCTGCTCTGTGTACTAGACCATTTGCTATTCATGTTAAAACAGGCATCTGTTTTGCAAAATGTTTGGAAAGTTTTATTAACTGGAAGCAAATGTTGTTTATACCCATGTGAACAAAGCTTAGAAGCCACTAGTAAAATTACCCTAAATTGCCAAACTAATGTAACTAAATAAAGCAATCTCTTAGACCCCAAAACAACAAGATACTAAAAAAACTCCCATTATAAAGGATCAGGTGGTGATTATCACCCAAAGCAGCAGAGGACAGAGTCACCACCTTTTTATCTTCTGGATGTTATAGGTAAGGCACTATATATTACTTACAGTTGGTATAAATTGGTTGTCTGAATGGCTTTCCTTTTGAGAACACAAAGGCTACAATGAGGAAATTAATAGTGCTTAATAGCCAGACGGTGGTGTTTTCATAGCTCTGGTATTTAGTCTTATGAGGCAAGTTCTGGGACACAGAGGTATCATTGCCACTACTCAGAATAAATGAGTTATTGGCTGGATGGCAAGCTCTGGAGGGTGGAAAGTACAAACAGGTTAGATGTAGGATCTTTGAAGACAAATTCAAAAAATTTAAAACAAATGATTATTTTGGCAGATGTAAAAATCAGACATCTTTATAGTAACCACTCCTAATCTGTAAATACACTAGACCTAACAGGTGTTTCATTTATAGATGAAAAGTCAAACTCAGCACAGGCACATTAAGACCACTTGCATACATGTCACATGATCACACAAAGCAGGGAGACTTTGCCGCAAAACAGTGTCTGTGTCCCTCCCCCACTTGCTTTTCTGAACATCCCTATCTACATACAACTAGCACTCTTCCCCACCCATGTGTCAGTGCCTGCTGAAAGGTAGTCAAGACACCAAGAACTTCATTGCGGGATCAAGGGAGGAACATAGAGCTTGTCCCCCCATACCCAGAAGTTTGGGTATTTTGAAAACTACCTGCTCCAACATGCTCCACTTTTTATTAGCGCGGATAAATGCAGTGCAAAACAACGCGCTGGTGTGAACTTGCCTCATTGATTTTTATAGATTGTTTTTACTGTTGTACATTGGGAACATGCTGAAAAACCCATTCCCAGTGCATCTGGTGTGAATGGACCCTAATATAGGATGTGGATCTAGAGGGCACTAGAGGTGACAGTGTTAAAGTGCATTTCCACTTTTGCAGCCAAATTGGGATATTTTATACAGTATTTGTTACATGTTCTAATTTAAATAGTATAAGTTTAATAACCTAAAAAATTAAACAAACACACTCAATTCTGAAAGAAACGTTGTTGACTGTACTGAATTTACATCTGTAATGCAAGGGGGGCAGCTTAATGTTAAAATAATTAACCCTGACTGTACTGTGCTGGCAGATTTTTTATTATCAGTTGTAAACTGGATTTGTCTGCCCTAACAAAGGGTTAAAGCTCTAGAAGCATTGTGTTTTAACAAGGGGGATCTCGGGCTATCCCTAGTCTTTCAACAGGGAGAGCAAGAGTTTCCTGGCACTTGGAAATTGAGAGGGAAGCTTGCAAGGGCCTGCTACACAGACACAACTAAAAAAAGGTTTAAAAAAAATGTTTTTTAATATATATATTTTTAGGCATGCTGTGTGAATAGGAACACAAACATACAGTGGTGTTTTCTCAGTTGTGACAGTAAACTGAGAAAACACCACTGTACATTTATGTGTTCCTATTCACACAGCATGCCTAAAAATATATATATATTTTTTAAATACATACATAGATTAATACATCTGCTCCATTATATACCAACAATAGGTAATCTAATATAATCTGGTAAGAAGAAATAGAAGATATGCTATGCAGAACAATGTGCTACATAGTCAAATATCAGATCTGGGCCCCAGTTTCCTGACTTTATCTTACCTTAAGATATCAATGGAGCTGTACCACAGCTGGTCTTGCACAATGAGAAAGCCACAGATTTGTAAGGCAAGACTGAAGATGATATTTAGCACCACAGACAGTAACAGTGGAGGAGAGATCAGCTGGGCTGGAGGCCTGTATGGAGCCAATTTTGGATATGCACGATTCAAACTCACTGAAATAAAAAAAATGAATAGTTAGTAACACGTGTTACATTGTTGCCCTGATAAAGGGTCCCTGCGTGGTCCCGAAACGTCGCTTATAACTATTGCAACATGTATGATGATTTGTCCGATTAAATGGACTTGATCGTTTGAAAATTTTCCACTGAGTGCTGGTGATTGCTGTTCATTTGCCGTTTAATTTTAAAGTATATCAAAAGCTAAAACATTTTGGGGGAATTAATCAAAACTGGAGCAGACAGAAACTGGAGCATGGCAACCAATCAGCATCTCTCTTCCGTTTGCTCAGTTGGGATTTGAAAATGATAGATAGAAGCCGATTGGTTGCAGTGCACATCTGCTCCAGTTTTGATAAATCATCCCCCCTCTTTGTTTTTTCCAGTTGAAAATGGTTAAAAGCTACTGTAACGATAATGAGGTCTGATGAACCCAAACTGAGTGGGGAGAATGGGAAAGTTGTGCTGAACACACTGCCACCCTCATTGCTCCACAATTCGCAAGTCAACAACAAAACAATCAAACCTTTTGTCTGTGACGTAGAGATGACCTCAAATGCTAATGTACTCCTGTGACCCCAAGTCAGCACATGGTGGGCAATTGCCCACTATATGCTGACAGAGCAGAACCACACCCCAGCTGGGAAGGATCCCGACAATATTGTCGGGTCCCATCTAGCTACCTTAGTGACAGCTGGCTCGGCCTCTCTAGAGGACTCTGCCTCTCTCTGCAGGGAGAATACACCAAGAGCCGATCAGTGGTTACATGATCGCTCAGCTCTGAATATATAAAGCTGTTGTGCGATAGCTGCAGTGTACCACACCAGCCCTAAGTATTGGTATCGGTATATTTTACTCTCCCTGTACGTCTCTTTTAAAACAATATTTTAAAAAAATTAGGCTGAATCTATCATATTTTAAACTCTGTACATTCCTCTTTGACGTGGCACAGACTGTCACAAACATTCAGAATTCCTATAGCAGATGCTGTAAACAGTGTTGGGGAAATGTATCTAAAACCGGAGCAGACTAAATCTGGAGCAGCTGTGCATGGCAACAAACCAGCTTCTCTCTTCAGTTTCTTTCATTAAGATTTGAAAATGAAAGAGAGAAGCCGATTAGTTGCCATAGATGATGGCCCCTGATTCTGTCTGCTCCAGTTTTGATAAATTCCCCTCTGTGTGTTTCCGTTAAAACACAACACTACTGTGTGTTAAAGTAAAAGGTTAACTGAGGTGTTAACGGACCCAGTGACAAGTCTCTTTTAGTGGTTAGATTTTTTTTCAGAGAGCTGGAAAATCTCTATATATGAGAGCTCGAGGGTGTAATCATCACTTTTGCCAGGTGTTTTTTTCCATCCTTATCCCTCTTTAAAAAAAGAACTCTGGGCATATAAAAACGTAACCCTTGCAGTGGGGGTCACCCATGTACTGCAAGGGTTAAGTGCTCATTTTGTCTAAGGAGCTCAAATAAAAATATATACTCACCCAAATCTTGGACCCAGCTGGCTGCTAGACTGGCCCTGAAGCCTGGAATGTCCCTTGGTGTCCTCACATGCAATACACTGTATTGGACTTGATCATTCATGGGACCTTAGACCACCAGAGCGAAGGGGGGGGGGGAGGCTGTAGGGACCAGTCTAGCAGCCAGCTGGGTCTGAGATGCGGGTGAGTATATCTGTTATTTTAGCTCCCCAGGCAAAACATGCACTTTACTCTAGCAAGAGTTCTTCTTTACATAATTTCCTTCACTTGCTGTCCTGCAGACAAAACAGGAAGTGAAAGGAAATGTCTCCAAAGTGAGATAAATCCTTTTTTAGACAGTTGTCACCAGAACAAGTGACCCCAGCAGAAAATTACCTGTTCTTTACTTGTGTGCAACACTTAAGATTGTGGATTTTCCCTTGATTTCAGTTCTGGTGACAAATGGACACCAGGACAATTAAAAGTAAATCTCCCTAGTGAGAGCACAGACAGCAATAAAAACCCGACAGATGTTCTAACCGCCCACCACTATCCAAATCAAACAAAATAAATAAGTTTTAGCTGTAAATAAACTTTAATGAGAAGTGTATATGTCTCTTGGTTACCAACTTCATGCTTTTATGTGCAATGTATAGCTGTGTTGTATAAAGAAGCAAGTTAGTTCAATTTTGGTCAGATTTTTATCATAGAAAGAACACATTGATCAATTTTAAATTATGTAAATGAATACAGGCTTATATAAATGCATTCACATTGAGAAAAAAAGTAAAGCACACAAACATGTAAAGGCTACCCATCATATTAAATGAACAACACAGAACTGAAGTGAGCCTATGCACATTTCGGGTCCAGTTATATTTCTGCCGTGTGTTAATGCACATGCGTCAATGTGCATTATAACGCTTGTTAAAATGCATTACAACAAGGCAGTTCATTGAAATAAATGAACTGCCAAAGCTCCAAAGCATCCAGAAAAATCAGACATGCCACAAATGTTGTAATACAACACACCACATTGGTGCTTTGGTACACTGAGATGCACTTCAATGCATGCACATTGCATTCCATTCAATTCAAAATGAACGGCACCACACTACAGCAACTCGTGTAACATGCATTGCCGAGACACAGTAATATAAATGGATCTTTGATGTTAACTGGTGTAAGATAAGCATTATCTACTACTTACTTGTAACACTGATTATGGTAGTTATTGCCAGATCTTGGAAGAGAAATTGATAATTTGAAAAGGAGTTTATTTGCTAAAGAACAAAAACAAAACATTGGTTTTAAAATGCATGTGTCTGGGTTCACCAAAACCTATCAATTCAGCTGACCACATATTTTACAACAAATCTGATCTGTCCAATCAAGAAAAAATGACCAGTGACTTTGGAGTGTGAGAGTCTACCCAAACAATTCTTTCAATGTACATCCAACCAGGTAGACTTTCATACTACTGTACAAGGGTGACTATTAGTAATTATCAGTTGTTTATGTTGCAGATCAAGTCTGAAGCATAATCTGACACTTTGTGGTTTGTGTTGAGATAAATTGCAGAATGATAATCATGTTATAGCCACAAGTCTCCATCCAAAACCCAAATTATCCAATTTAGAGTTTTGGACCTGACCTTTATCCATCAAACAGGCATGTTGAACAAGAAAACTATGTGTATTTTCAGGGAGTACAAAATGTCCATTAGTATTGTGAAGTTTTTATAAAAGTGATTTTTAAACCTTCCTTACTCTATTAGAAAATTATTATTGTTATAATATAGGATTCATATTGTGGCAACAGTTTGTGCAGAGCTTTACAACGTAAGGAAGGCATTACAGTTAAATACAATTAAAAACAAGATGATTAGGAGGACCCTGCCTATGAGAGCTTACAATCTAAATAGGAGGGGCAAGTGATACAAAAGGTGGTAGCTGTGTGGGAATGAGTTGTTTGAGAAAGCTATAGTTCAGTGGTTAGGTAGAGGTGGGATAGTTTTTTCCTGAAGAAATTAGTTTTCAGGATTCTCCTAAAAAGGCAGACAGAGTGGGAGATAGCCAGACAGGATAGTTGTGCTATCAATTACAATGGAAAGGTTGGGGGAGGTGCACAGTAGGGAGGAAATATCATGACCTCAGTTTCTGAAAGATTGTGTTTTAAGAAGTGTTGTGACATCCAGACTGATATGTCAGTTAGTAGATTAGTGAAGTCCAAGGAAAAGGTGAGTTGTGGGGTGGAGAGACATATTTCTAGGTTATCAGCATAGAGATGGTATTGGAAGCCATGCAAGGTTAACAAACAACCAAGGGAGGAGGTGTAGATAAGAAAAAGAAGGGGTCCAAGGACAAGGCCTTGGGGGACCCCTACGGAAAGAGAACGAGGAGCATTGGATGTAAATTTTTAGGCGACCCGAAAGAAGAGCATATGTAGGTGATGGGAGAACCATAAGAAAGCAGAATATTGGAGTCCAAGAGGGGTGAGTTGTGGGGTGGAGAGACATATTTCTAGGTTATCAGTAGACATGTGCACCAGCAAAAAATTCGTTTAGTTTAGTTTAGTTTTGAGGAGGAGGTGTAGATAAGAAAAAGAAGGGGTCCAAGGACAAGGCCTTGGGGGACCCCTACGGAAAGAGAACGAGGAGCATTGGATGTAAATTTTTAGGCGACCCGAAAGAAGAGCATATGTAGGTGATGGGAGAACCATAAGAAAGCAGAATATTGGAGTCCAAGCAAGTGTTGTTTTTTGCAGACGAGTGGGTGGTCAACTGTGTCAAAAGCAATAGAAAGTTCTAACAGCAAGAGTATGAAATAGTGGCTATTGTTTTTAGCAGTCGGTAAATCATTAGTGAGTTTTAGGAGGGCAGTTGTGGGCAAAAAAAACAGACTGTCAAAGAGGTTGTTTTTAGTGAGGTGGCAGCTATGGTTAGGCATTGTAGGAGTTTGGAGGTGAACAGAAGGATATTGGTCTGAAATTGTTCAGGTTGGTAGGGTCCAGTGAGGATTTTTTCAGAATGGGGGGTGACCATTGCATGTTTTAGAGGGGAGGGGAAGATACCAGTAGAGAGGGAAAGATTGAAAAATGTGAGTAAGAGATTGTAGGATAGAATAAGAAGGTGACCGGAGTAGTGGTGAGGAAACAGGGTCCAAGGGGCAGGTGGTGAGGAGGGTGTCAGAAAAAAGCTGTGTAACCTCCTCTGTAGTGACAGGGTCAAAGGAGGAAAATGACAAATGTGATGGTGGACCTGATACGTTAATTGGGAAAGATAACTGGATAGTGGAGCTCTCACCACGAATTGCATCTACACTAGCGTGTTATTTAAATTAATGGCAATGTCCCAGGCAGTGAGTTAGTAGGTGGAGGCGGTGGGGGACCAAGTAGAGATGTAAAGGTAGAAAAGAGTTGATGAAGATGACGATGGGAGGGTTTTAATGAGAGTGACAAAATAAGTCTGTTTGGCAGCATGGAGGGAGGAATTATATTTTAGAAGGCAGCTTTATACAGAGCGCAGTCTTCCAGGGATCTAGTTTTACACCACACTCTCTGTTAGTAGCACGGCTATGTCTTTTAAGCTTTCCGGTATTTTCTGTTTGCCAAGGTTATAGTGAATGTGGCCCAAGTCTGTGTGTAGTGAGAGGAGAGGCAGAGTCAGATTCCTAAAGCTAGGTTTCAATAACGCCAAATGTGTTTTTTTATTACTGCCCACCTCCCCATTAGTCTGAATTCATCAAACAGACGGGAAATGAGCAAAAATCTCTCAAATGAAGACACAAACAACAATAAGTTGACAGAAGTTCTGATCATTTCATACTGTATCCAAAATTAAACACGTTTGTATGAAGTTGTACTTTCTTAGAATAGCGATAGATGGGGTGATATCTCACATAGAATGACAGGTGTTGAGATACCTTATTATTTTTACACAAATGTACCAAGCTCAATACGGATTACAGCACACATGCAGTACTTTGGTCTCTTTACTAGAATGAATGAAAAATCAAACTCACTCACAAGGAGATTTTCCAGTAGGTTGGATAATCTCCTTCTGCAAAAACAAGTGCTTCTTTCACCCGAGATGCTGGGTATCATCCTCTACCAGGTCTGCAACAGTGGATTTGCTCAAAATTAGCAGCATAATTTACTTTAATTCACCAGTTAATGGCCAACCTTACTTATTTTACATAAAATTGTCATCCGTGGTGACGTTATGAATATTAAATCAAGAGAACATGCCTGTTTTGCTTTAGTCTACTTCTATATCCCTGGTAAACAAAAATTATAAAAATGTTTACAAATAAATTAGTTTCCTAAAACTTGAAGGCTACAGTTGCAAATGATAAAGTGTACTATGCAGCTTCATCTTTTCATAAACTTTTTTTCCCCACAATCACCTGGTCCCCTCAGCACCTGCCCTCTTTCCAGGTTCATGCTGGCTCCTTTCCCTTTGCGGGTCCTATGTAGCCACCCTTGTTTGTATGTTCCAGGACAGAACTAGAGCTGATGCTGTGTGCTTCAAATGCAAACCAGCCCTTAAGCAAGCCACTCTCCCTGCTCCTTCTACTCCCTCCGTCCGGCGCCTGTGCTGTCTGTTCTGAACAATGCATTTGAGGCACCTTCCCAGACATACTGGATGTGCTTGTGAAGTACATCCAGTACAAACTGGAGCCAGCCAAAGTGTGCAATTAAGGATGTTTGTGCCCACATATTTAGTGAATTATGCACTTGGGAATGGGTAACAGGTTGCTATGAAGGCATTAATTAAAACATTGAATACACTTAAAGGAGAACTATGAGGTGAGTGAAAATCACTCAGCCTCATAGTTCTAGCCGACCTGTGACAATGAAACTGTCACAGGACAGCTCGCGGTATACTGAGCTTTGGGTGACGGGAGGACGCTAGTATGTGTCCTCCTGTTAACCTTAGGAGAACTATGGGGAAAAGAGGGACAGTTAAGTGGAAAAAAAAATAGGAAAAAAAAATTTAAGTTTGCCCCCCAAAAATGTAAAGTTACACATTCAAAAAAAAAGAATTAAAAAAAAAAATTTTTTTTTTTTAGAAGTCCCCACCCCTACATACACGCATACAAACAGGCGTTGGGTGCGCATAGGTGCGAAAACGACGATTGTGCACATTACGCCACACGTTACATATCGTCGCGAACGTCAGAATGAGAGCAATAGTTCTAGGGCCATCAATCACTGATAACACTAAACTGATGAGCGGTAAAAGCTTTTAAAGCGTCGCCTATGGTCAATTTTGGGTATGGTAGTTTTATTGCGATTTCGCTGGTGCGTGCAATTTTAATGCTTGACATGTTTGGTGTCTATTTATCCGACGTGACCCGATCTTTTATATTTTACCAAAAATATGGGTAATAATCATTGTTTTCTAATATAATTAAAAAAGAACTATGTTTTTACATTTTCAATAGTTTTTCCTTAATATTAGTAAAAAATAAGTGGTGATTAAAAACCACCAAAAGGAAGCTCTACCTGTTCCCAAAAAAATGGTATAAAATGTATTTCAGTACAGCGTTGCATGACGGAATAATTGTCATTCAAAGTACCGCAGCGCTGAATACTGAAAAATGGCCTGGCCAGGAAGGGGGTTTAACACCTGGTCTTGAAGTGGTTAAAATAATTACTGGAGTCACTGGGGAAGCACTGATTTTACTTGAGTCACTGGGAAAGACTGGCACATTGTGTATATGTATGTATATATATATTTATATGTATTTATTTATATGTATATATAAACTATTGGGATAACTGATACACTGCTGCAACGTACAAACTATTTGGAAACTAAAAAACTTTTTTTGATGCACATGAACTTCCGTTACACAGACACATTGTACTATCACTTTTTATTCTTTTGTTTTAAGTCAATATTGTTTATATATTAGATGTTTTTGATTACTATGTATTATGTTCCTTGATGACCAAGCATTTATTATTTGCTAGTAGGTGGGTTGGGGTTATTTTAATTTGTTTTTTTTTTTATAGCACAGCACCAGTATAATTAATTTGTTTCAAGACTAGCTGTTAGATCGGGTAGTGTCTGCTGCTGGGAAACATATTGGCACAAGGTGCTATTTTTGAATTTAAAAAAGGCTGTTCGCATTTAATACTACTTAAACATGTGTGTATAAACTCTAATCATGAACGTCTCTTATTTTCTCCCTTTGTTCTTGTAGATATAGGATTAAATATAGATATAACATTGAAAAATAGATGAGTGAAGCCTGAAAAGAGTAACTAACTATTGCAGCTACCAAATATAGGGACTGGTAAGCTGCAATATTTAACATTTTTATTCTTGGTTTTAGGTACGCTATAACAGTGAAATGTACTTGTCAGACAGCAGAGCATATTATAATCTTACCCAGTATAGGAGAAGCACACCAACATACTGAATCATGCTGTAAAGGGCCATGTACTTAAATACACAAAAAGACGTAATAAGAGCAGCTCTTCCTTCTCTGGAAAAAAAGAAATGCAAAAATAACCATACAGAAAATCTATGGCATTTTATATGTACAGTACAAGAGGTAAATGGTTGTACGTAAACAGCTACTTTTTAAATTCATACGTTAACTTAGGCACAATGGGTACATGCACTCTGGCACAGGTTAAAACAAAAAACATGTATGGTTTCCACTCTCAAATAGAGGAAACAGGAATTTTTAAGGGCAGTTTGATCTGGTGTTTTGTGTCGTGAGAGTGAAGATGCACATCTTACAGTGCTACCCCAGAAGACAGTCTGGGACAAGATTTTTCATGTGTCTGAAGAATACTATTTTATGTCTGTGTATACCCTTAACCACTGAAAAACAACACAGATGCAGACATACTGCCTAACCTGCCCAAGGCGGGGTATTGTGTACAAGGTCTCCTAGCTGAAATTAATAATCCTGCTTTTGTGCGCGCACCAAGCTCAACCATAGAGACAAATAATGAATAATGATACCCACTCCCAACTCTGAATATGCTTCCAGGACAGCAATTATACTTCAGAAGACCCTCACACATGCAATGCCAAGAGAATGGGTTTCATAGCAGCTAGTCAGCACCTGAAGTCTGTTTTTTATAGTTCGCTTTTTAGAGTAGGAATTTGAACTTGCTTTTTAAAAGGCAGTGCTATTTCAATATAAAACTACTCCCAAAAATGTTTGAATGGGAAATGTATATTGTTCATTAATGTGTTTAAATAATACTTACACAGCTCTCCTGCACTCACAGCTTTTAGCATTGCCACAACCAGTAATTAAATAATGGGAGTTCAAGAGAAGGCCAACATATCAGTATTAAAGTAATTGTAGACCCAAAATCTATTTTTCAGTGTGATTAAAGGAGAACTATGGGGTCAGTGTTTTTCCCCATAGTTCTCCTTAGGGTAACGGGAGGACACAAACTAGCGCCCTCCCATTACCCTAAGCTCAGTATACCGTGAGCTACAGCTCGCGGTATACTGAGACGCCGCAGCCGGAGCGGATCCTGACATGGACGTTGAGATCTGCCCAGCTGCGTGAGTGACAGCTGGCTCTGCCTATCTAGAGGCAGAGCCAGCTGTACCCGCCCCCCTCCCCCGTCCGTTCCGCCAGTCAGCGCTGGCAGATAGGAGCGGGGAGAGGGGAATCCAGCCCCTCCCCCTGTCACGGCAGAGAGCCGTGACAGGATCGAGAGGTGAGCGAACCCGGTATGTGTTCGCTCACCTCCCGATCTACTGAGCTGACCTGTGACAGTCTCATTGTCACAGGTCGGCTAGAACTATGAGGTGAGTGGAAATCACTCATCTCATAGTTCTCCTTTAACCATCATACCTCACTATATTGTCTTCAGACATTTTTGAAAGTTTCTTACCTGAAGATCCTGCCAGTAACAGTACTTCTTGTTGCAGGTTGACAACACTAAGCCACTGCCTTGCAATAAGCAGCAGTGTTATCAACCTGTCACATTACACATCAGGCTACCTATCAGGTCTATCAGATCAGATTGCATGCAATAGGAAGTGCTGTTAGTGGCAGGATCTCCAGGTAAGAAACTCTGCAACTAGTTCACCTAAAACTATTTTTAAGAAACACGCATACAGGAGAGACATGATGCCAAAAATACTGAAAAATGGATATTGGATTTACCTCCAATTTAAGTAATTTTGTAGGCAATTTTCTAGAATGCAGCGAAGTGATATGAAGGGAATGTTGCTTTTTACTATCCACATAATTATAAGTTTAAAGCAAGCTTAGCTTCCTCTTAGTGCACTTAAGCAAATCTCCCCACTTGGCACAATCCAATAGTTCAGACTTCATAGAGGTTTGTGCATGGGTAACTTATTTTAAATAAATACACAACAGAGTGGTCACTCAAAAAATGAACTAAGTGAAGCTAAGAACATGTGTTGTGAAGACTCACTTTAACAGCTGAGGAACACATTCAATGTTGGGAGTTTTTGATGTGAATGGAGAAGCAACAGAAGCTTCTTGCTCAGACAGTGAAATTCCAACGTGGGCCATCTTAAGAGCCTGTAATGAATAACCCAAAAAATTAATTGCCAACATACACCAGTCTCATGTGTCATATCGTATTCATATAAAAGGTAGATAGAAGAAACAGTTTTTACTTACACCACAGTCATTAGCGCCATCACCGCACATTCCAACATAATACCTGCAGAAAAGAATACCAATCACATTAGTTTCATGTAAGATACAAAGGCACATAGGCACTTGACGCAAGTTACATCTCATATTTGATACAGAAATTGCAGGCAACAACTAATTAGTGAGGTGTAAAAAAAACCTGTACTTAAGCCAGGAAGCTGAGCCAATGAATTGTCTTTATCCCACTTCAACCAGATTTCACACAGCCCCTTTATAAGTAAGATGGGTATGTCTACTTCCTGAAGCCTGAGCTTTGCAACTTACGATCTTCTTTGCTTGATACATCCGCTATAGAATTCAAACATTCAAGTGAGGAGTTGAATCTCATATGTGGCCGTAAGGGACTTCTCGATAGTGACACTTTTATACATCTGCACATGACACAGGAAGGAATCTACACAGGGCGTGTTTAGGAATATTACCTCTTCTACAAACAGGTGAGTAAAAGAGGTACCCAAATTATCAATATGAGAAAGTGGGGTGGGTTGGGCTGGTGCACTAAAACTGCACCTGGATGAAAAAAAAGGAGTATTCTTGCATGCATTTAAAGCTCATTTTTTTTATTTTGTCTGCACTGTACCTATGTTTAACATTTACACTTAAAAAATAGATTAACATATGTGGGAAATGTGCAAACGCTTGCTTTAAATTGTATTATAGGTCATGCATATTGTACAGTTTCAAAATTAATATAACAGTTTAACAACCGGTTGTTGGTTTCAGGCGCCATGTGTAACTTATGATATCCAACACAAGAGAAGGATCTTAAGATTTACTGAATGTATAGATGTGATGATAGAGCCACATAGTTTCATAAAGCTGGTAAAAGGATAAAATAGTTGTTACAGTTGGAACAAACCTTAAAACTAATAACTCTGTAAAAATATTAACAGCTCACATCTGAAACCCTTAAAGCTGAGCTGTGGGCTGGAGAAAAAGTTACCCTTGCAGTGGATCACCCTCCACAGTGCAAGGGTTAAATGCTTGCTTTGTCTAATGATATAGGAATAGGGTGAAACATTGTTTTTGCATAAAGTGATTCTGAATGTGATTAGGACACAAGGGAGTATTCATGGCCAAATCACCTGATCAGACTGTGTATGGCTAGATTTACACAGCAGCAAGTTTTACATACATGCTAGTAAGTTTCCATATTTACATTCAGGATAGAGGAAGAAAAGAAGCACCGCCAACTTACAAATGTGGCAGAAAGGAATAGCCGAGATGTTTCTCAGAGTAACCTATTGGATTCAATTTGTCTGCTTGCAACCTCATTTTGGATGGTAGGGACAATACATCCACCATATCCTACTTGCAGTCTATAAATCCACATTTTGCATATTTTCATGTCCTTTCCAAGTGTTTTTTTAAGGGGGTTGAAAGCAAACTTCAGCCAAAACCTATGTTTGGGAACTCTTGATTCTCAATGACTGATCACAAACTATAGATTCTTTTAGAATCCTTTAAAAAAAGTATTCACCTTTGATTATGTTCCTAAATGTGAACCTCTACATAAGGGTTAATACAGTTGCTATGTACATTGCAGATATTCTCCCACCTACCCAAGTTTTTGAAATTCTTCAACAAGACTTGATTTGTGCCCTGGAGACATCCGTGCAAAAATTGTGCCATTTATCAGTATCTGTAAAATCACAGTAGACAGGTTCAGCATGTTTTAGCATGTACAGAATGTTGATAAAGTCATGTTATTTTCACACAAAGAAATCCATAATTGTCTGATCAGAAATGTTTGCTAATGGGTGTATTGAGAAAAGGACTTCTGACATTTATGAGAAACATTGTACGAGGTTTTCAGTGGAGAGCTATATGACTCCTTCACAGTACTAGGTACAGGACACAGTATAATAACAAAAATGTCTTTATACTTTAATTACAGTTATAGTATATAGCATGCAAACATTAAATATGTATACATTATATACACAGTATATATTTGCATTAACTATTTCTTTACCATCCAGGATACAGACAGATTTACCAACATGCCTCATATGTTAAAAATTGATTTTAGAGAAAACAATTGTATGCCAGCCCCTGTATAACCCCCCCTCTACAAAGCATGCCTTAGTTTTGTGGAAAAGCAGTACCAAGAACATGAACAGAAACACAGAGAACTTCATGAAAATGATTTGATAAAGTACAAATATCCTATTCACTTTCTTGTTCATTGAGGGACACAGGAATCAATATACAATCAAGATGTCCAAAAGCAGTCCAACTTAGGGGTGGGCAAAACAGCAGTTGGAGAATGACTGAAAAGCTGGGCCATCAGAACCCACCCAAACCGATGGGACAACAACACATTTCCAAGCAAGGAAGAAAATACCCATAACCTAGTCAGCAGTAATAAAAAAACAAAAAACAAAACACACTCCCGAGAAGGAATAGGTTCCAAGGGAGCACAGGTCCAAAAAAGAAAGCCATTCTGCGTAGGAAAGCCCAAGGCTTTACAAACCAATGCCTTAGGATTAAGGGCATGAAAACTCCCTGACAAACTAAGGTGTTGGCTAGTCTCCCGTGAAGCGAGGTACAGTACTGTGCAAAAGTTGTAGGCAGGCGAAAGAAAATGCTGTAAAGTAAGAATGCTTTCAGAAAAAAAGTGTTATTAGTTTAATTTTATCAACAAAATGGAAAGTAAATAAAACAGAAGAGAAATCCAAATCAATATTTGGTATGACCACCTTTTGCCCTCAAAACAGCATCAATTCTTCTAAGTGCACTTGTACACTCTTGAAGGAACTTCATGTCTCTTCATGTAATCCCAGGCAGACTTGATGATGCTGAGATCAGGGTTCTGTGGGAGCCAAACCATAATTTTCAGGGTTCCTTGAACTGTAGATAGTTCTTAAATTACATTGGCTGTATGTTCGGGGTCGTTGTTCGGCTGCAGAATACATTTGGGGCCAATTACACGCCTCCCTGATAGTATGGCATGATGGACAAGTATCCGCTTGTATTTCTCAGGATTGAGGACACCATTAATCCTGACCAAATCTCCAACTCCATTGGCAGAAATGCAGCCCCAGACTTGCAAGGAACTTCCACCATGCTTCACTGTTGCTGCAGACACTCATTATTGTACTGCTCTCCAGCCCTTCGACGAACAAACTGCCTCCTGCTACAGCCAAATATTTCAGATGTTGACTCATCGGTCCAGAGCACCTGCTGCCATTTTTCTGCACCCCAGTCCCTATATTTTCGTGCATAGTTGAGTCGCTTAGCTTTGTTTACACATCGGAGGTATGGCTTTTTAAGCTCAAATTGGCAGCTTCATCGCGACATAGCGCCTGCATCACGTCTCCTGCAGAGTTTTTGGGTTCATCAGTGTAGAGCACCTGCTGCCATTTTTCTGCACCCTAGTGCTTATGTTTTCATGCAGTTTTTTTTCTGCACCCCAGTCCTTATGTTTTCATGCATAAAGTTGTTTAGCCTTGTTTCCACATCGGAGTTATGGCTTTTTGGCCGCAAAGCCACCGAAAAATGGCAGCAGGTGCTACGAGTTAACCCTTGCAGGAGGGCTACCCGAAAAATGCAAGGGTTAACTGCTTGTTTTGGTCTACTGGTGAAAATAAAGAAGAACTACTCGCCCAATCCTCCATCCTGCGGCATTGGTATGTCCTTTTACGTCTTCACTTCTAATAGGCTGTATTAGATGTGATGACATCATGGGTCCTTAGCCTCTTCTCCCCCGGGCTTTGGAGGTCTCAGGGGACCAGTCTAGCAGCCAGGTGGGACTGCCTAAGCTGCACAGCCCATCCGAGACCATCCACAGCCCACCTGAGACCATCCACAGCCCACACGATACTTTGGAGACATCAGGCCTCCAACCTGGAGCAAGACAGAGTATGTAGCGTCATATTATTCTGCATTTGTAGTCCTCTATAACTGATGCCATTCTGCATTGCTGTATAATGTATTTCTGGGATTTGTAGTCCCTCTACAGCTTGGAGTCAGTGGCAGAACTACCAGGGTCACAGTGGTTGCAGCTGCGACAGGGCCCTGGCACTCCACCACCGTCCTAAAATCATTAGTCTGTATTGTTTTAAAAAACTGTCACATGACACAAAAAAAGTATTGATAATTCGTATCGGCGAGCACATGAGGAAAAGTATTGGTACTCATACTTTGTCTGCAAAAAATGGTATTGGTGCATCCCTAAGGAAGATTATAAATACATACCTAAAATATATACAAAAGAAACTACTTTGCCTTTAAGCAGCTATAGCCATTTGATGGTACTTATACATGCATGCATAGTCCATTGTTCCATTACTATAGATAGCTAGTAACTACACATCCCCATTGGAAGTGTTATCTCATAACATCAGCGATGTAGTGCAACAGTGAAACAATACTGACTGCCTTTTACCCCGAGAGAAATCAAGAGAGTATAACTGCTGCCAAGAGACACAACAGTACTGGATTCAGCCAAAATTGCTAGATTGTGTGCCAATAATCTCTCATGTAGTACCTGTCACTTAACCCAATCTTGGTTTACCAAAAGAATCTTATTCTTTGCTACCATCATAATGAACAAAAATCATGGTAAAAGCACAGAAAAATCTTAAGCATTTAAATGCAGTGGTTTTCTTTTCCATACATTATTTTTCTTTATTAATTTGCAGTGTGCTTTTGCACTTAATAGAAAAATTAACTAGTCAATTTCCTAGCCCTACCTCATCGATCATCATAGCCCCCCCTTCTCTTCTGGTTGTGTATAATTACTGTATGTGCTGGTCTAGATTTTCCTCCCCTCCCTACCAGGGAAGGAACAAAGAGCAATATCAGATTGTAACTTGAGTGACATACGAGTCTTCTGGGGCTGCTAACATCACATCCAAGATGGTGGCGACCAACAGCAGTCTGACTATTTTGAGTTCTAAACAAGGGAGGCTTTTACATGTAAGCAACATGCATGAAATATGTTAAATGCATATAATCTTATATTATATTTTTGTTGAAACGAATGGTCTGGTGAAAGGGTCTCTAAGTATTAGAACTTTAATACACAAGAGCTGTTTAATACAAAGAGCATTTTTTTTCTAATATACAAAACATTTTATGTATTTTTAGAGAAAATCTTATTAAATTACCTTTTGTAACAAATTGCTAAAGTGCTGTAATATAACTTGAAAAGAGCTTCCCGTCATGGCAAAATAATAAGGCTTCACTTCACTGTCTGGCTTGTTTTTATCTTGTATGTCAACAAAAATATCCTGCAAATCCAAGATGAAATCTTGGTTATACATGAGATATGTCATACGTTACCACATTTTAGACACAACCATTTGGACTATTAAAACAATTAATGTAAATAAATATAGTTATTCACAGTACGAAAAAGTGCAATTACATGTTTTAACAAGATGAGCAAATGAGCAATAGTGATAGAAGTATAAAGACGTAGTTAGGAAACAGACGTGCACCTAGAAGAACAAATGGATGTCAAGCATCTAATAAAACGTAATGGGCTGTCCTAATACTCTGGAGACTATCTAGCCAGTGCACGCCCAGGACAATGGGGCACAGAGTTGTGGCTCAGGACAGGTCATGGCAATGAAATAATAGGATTTCAACATACAGGGTTTGTAAGATATGATATACTGTAGATATGGAGGGTGAAGGGAAAGGCAAGGGTGGCTTTAATAAAGGCAAATGATTTAAAAATAATCTGGATAGAGGAAAGAACATCTAAGCTGGTGCTGGCAACACTTAGAAGGCACATCTAGGTGCCTGAACACCAGAACCATTTCATAGCAGAGAGCCCATAGTGTCTGGAAGCCCTTTCTAACTTCCAATGTCACACTGCTGACCATTATGGGAGCAGTCTAAATGACTAATAGAATCCTTAGTTGAAAAATTGAACTGGCACCAGGACATGCTACCAGTGCCGGATTACATTTTATTCCTGATGTCTGGTTAATTTTCAGGTATTACAAGAGCTCCCTTTTGTCTCATTGGGTAGGAATACAATCTTTAATGCTTATTTTTACTGAACACACTCATCTACAGGACAGTGCATGTCAGGTCAAGTACTCAAGAGTCATGTGCACACAGTGGCGACTCAATATATAGGGGGGCACATAAGACACCACAGTCAAATCTGGGGGGGCACTAATAATTTTCATTGCATGTGGCAACAACAGGGCGATAAGAGCTGATTTAATTGCGGATGGCATCTGCGCCCTGCGGTTCCGACATGTAGTCCAACGCCGCTCACAATCCTGAATACCGCAACCGCCGACCCCATCCGCAATTAAATCAGCTCTCAGCGCCCAGTAGGTGCAGAATACAGCAGGGGCTGACTGGCAACTTTTAGCCCAGGGGGCAAGTACAACCCATAGGCCCATGGTGCAGCTACTTGGCCCCGCTCTGCCTCTTCCCCCGCCTTCTCCCTGCCCCTGCCTGCCACTTTTGCCATCCATGTAACAGTAGTGTGAATGGTCGGGTGATGTGAGGACTCCTAGTAAGTCCATGAAAGGGGTGACAGGCTGGGGATTGTGCTCTCCTCCCACTGGGCTCTCTACATAGTTCTGGCCTTACTCCGCTCTATGTCTGGTACATAGGCACTCTCGCCCACTGTAGACCCCCGCTGGCTGTCAGGCATTTTAGAGGGCAGCCCGCTGGGGCCTCTTGAGGACCCCCTCGAGGAGTGAGCGGTCGCCCGATTACAGAGCCGCATCTGTAGCGGTGCAGGTGGAGGAGGGAGGGAGCTACTGCACCTGCGGCCAGAGGCTTCATTTAGCTGGGTCAATCCACCCCTGGATCCGCCACTCAGGGCCGGTGCAAGGATTTTTGCCTACACAGGTGAAGGTGAATTTTAGCGCCCCCCGCCCTTTGTTGGCGGCCTATGCCTATACATCCTTGCGCTAGCACTAGCCTGGACCACATCGCTAGGGTGTAACATGGTCAAATTGCAACCCCC